TCGCTGCCGCTGTTTGTGGACTCTGGGGGTGCTGGAGTTGAGGTGGGTACTAGTCCCGGGGCTCCTGTCGTGGCTTGTCCCGGCGGTCCTGGGGGTGGTACCGGTGCTGGCGGTGTTTCGGGCTCTGGGGGTGTCCCTTCTGGGGGTGCCGGTGTGGAGGGTTCGGGAGGTAGCCGTCGCGCAGCTTGTGGCCCTGGCGTTGGTGTTGTGTCGCCGCAGCAGCAGTCCCCGCCGGTGTCCGCCCTCCGTCTGCTCGGCCTTCCGTCCCCTGACCCTGCGCCTGTTCCTCTCCGGCCGTCTCCCCCTCTTCCCGTCTACGGCCCCGTGTTCCCTCCGCCGGACTCGTCCCCGGCTCGTTTTCCCCCTCGTTCCCCACCCGTGTCCCCTCCTCTGTCTCCTGACCCGACGCCGCCCTCTCACGTCTGGTCTCGCCGCCCCTCCCGTGCTCGTCCTGTCTCCCCCGTCCCGCGCACTCACCCTATGTTGCTCCGCTCCCACGCGTCTCGTCCTCCCCTCCTCCCGTCTCCTCCTCCGTCCTCTCTTGTCGTTGCGTCTCCTCCTCTGTCTGACTACTTTCGTGCCGCTCGTCCTCTTGTTCCTCAGGTCCTTGCCTCTCTCATTACCGACCCGTCTGTTCCAGTGTCGAGTCTTGACGCCCTTGTCGCTGCGGTCGCTGACTTCGCCTCTACCCGCCGCCTTGACTACGCCTCCGCTCTGGTCTCTGACCCTGCCTGTCCTCCGTCTGTCGGGGGTGCTCCTGCCCTCGGCAGTGACGTCCTGGAGGACCGCCAGTTTGAGCTTGCTTTCCTGTCCGAGGCTGCTCCCCATCTCTGTTCCATGCTGCTAGTCCCTGAGGGTGACCCAGACGCTTTCGACATCCCGACCCCTCGCACTTACGCTGAGGCGACTTTGGGACCCTGGGCCTCTCAGTGGATAGCTGCCATGGAGCAGGAGATGGCATCTTGGAGATCCACCGGCACCTTCGTCGACGCAGTTCCCCCACCTGGAGTGAACGTGGTCGATGGCCGTTGGCTCTTCAAGGTGAAGCGCCCTCCTGGAGAGCCGCCTGTGTTCAAGGCGCGCTACGTGGCTAGAGGCTTCAGTCAGCGCGAGGGGGTGGACTTCTTTCAGACTTTCGCTCCTACCCCGAAGATGACTACTCTTCGGGTTCTGCTACACGTAGCGGCTCAGCGTGACTACGAGCTTCACTCCCTCGACTTCTCCACTGCCTTTCTTCAGGGCAGCCTTCACGAGCAGGTCTACCTGCGTCGTCCTCAGGGCTTTACTGGCACCTTCCCCCTTGGGACCCAGTGGCTTCTGCGGCGCCCAGTCTACGGCCTGCGCCAGGCGCCTCGTGAGTGGCACGACACGCTGCGTGCTACCCTTGCTGACCTGCAGTTCTTTCCGTCCTCTGCAGACCCCTCGCTCTTCATTCGTGCTGGCTCGACTCCGTTCTACATCCTCGTCTACGTAGACGACCTGGTCTTTGCCACAGCTGACAGGGACGCACTGGCCTCCGTGAAGGCAGAGCTGCTGAAGAGACACACCTGCACTGACCTTGGAGAGCTGCGCCGTTACCTTGGCTTGCAGATCTCCAGGGACAGAGCCGCGCGCACCATCACCCTGACTCAGTCACACTTGGTGCGCCAGGTCCTTCAGAGGTTCGGCCTTCAGTTCTCCTCCGCACAGCCCACCCCTCTTCCTCTGGACCACAGACTCTCCGCTCCAGTTCCTGAGGAGTCGGTAGATCCCAGTGGTCCTTACGCTGAGCTAGTGGGTTGCCTCATGTACCTGATGACTTGCACTCGCCCAGATCTCGCATACCCTCTCAGCATCCTGGCTCGTTTTGTGGCCACAGGCAGACACCGACCTCAGCACTGGTCTGCCGCTAAGAGGGTTTTGCGTTATCTTGCAAGTACATCGGGCATGGGGTTAGTGCTAGGCGGACGCAGGCCAGTGGTCCTTACTGGACACACAGACGCTTCTTGGGCAGACGACGCCGAGACGCTCAGGTCTTCCCAGGGCTACTGCTTTAGCCTTGGCTCAGGTGCTGTCTCGTGGAGAGCTACCCGCTCCTCGTCTGTTGCCCAGTCCAGCTGTGAGGCTGAGATCTACGCCGGTGCCATGGCGGCACAGGAGCTCCGCTGGCTGACCTTCTTGCTCACTGACTTAGGTGAGCGGCCTAGCTCTGCCCCGGTCCTGTACGCTGACAACAGGGCCATGATTCTCCTGTGTCAGGAGCCTCGACTCGAGGGCAGAGCGAAGCACATCCAGCTGCGGTACTTCCTCCTGCGCGAGCTACAGCAGCGTCGCCAGGCTCGCGTAGTACACTTGGCCTCCGGTGCCAACACAGCTGATATCTTTACGAAGGCGCTTGCGCCTAAAGATCATCAGCGGCACTGTTTACAGCTTGGTCTGGTTCCTGTAGTCTCTCACTTACTCGGGCCTTGACTTTGTACTGTCGTCTATATATATATATATGAATACACTCAGACTGGACTTGTGTCCTCTCACAGTGGTTGGACTAGTAGTGCCGCCCTGTACTCGTTCTTGCCTTGTCTGTACTCCTTCTGACTGGTCTTTTAGACCCTTGTCTCAGAGGCTGGACTAGTAGTGCCACCCTGAGCTCCTTGTCTAGAACATTCCCCTATGCAGTCCAGGGGGTGTGTCAAACATGTGTAGTTATCATGTTTGTATAGACTGTATAGTGTTGTGTGATGTCATCATATGCTATCACATTCTGTCTGCCTCCCATCCCATGTTTTTTCAACTTGCATGTGTGGTTTGAATGTGCAAGCATTTGTGTGTGGTGTGTTCTGGAGTTTGGGAATGTGTTTTGTGTTATTCTGTCTGAGCAGGTATTTGTGATAATAGATCTTGAGAAGATCTTTCCGACGCAACAAGAATCGCTTCAATCGGAGCAAGAACGCGAAAGCTATGAAGATTCAAAGTTCATGAGCTTGCGTTACAATTGCGGCGGTTACTAAGTGAAGTTGTGGGGTGACTTTATATGGAGTTGGGACCTTTGGGGTTGGGGAAACTTGTCACTCTACTGTAACAGCTGCAAATTGGTTGGGAACAACCAAGCTAGGTTGGCAAGGGTGGCCAACTTGGATGGATTGGTTGGGAAGGGACAAATGTCAAAGTTGGGGTTCCTATAGGGAGGGAATCTTTGTGCTTATGGGGTTTCCTTGGTTGGGGACTCTCTTGGGACCTTCCCTCTCATCCCTCTCTTCCTATCCCAACCTTTCTCTTGCTCCTTCTAATTCCTTGTGAGATTCTTGAACTTTGATTGAACCTTTGAGATTGAGTTAAGTTCTCCTCCTACAGCTTACCCCCTAATGCGTCGAAAGCCATAGCGTCGCGAATACTTCATCAATCAACGTGATTCAAATTGGGAACGGTAGCTGAGATTAAGAGCTACAACATATCCAAGTTTCGCGACATTCCAACGGCTAGTTTTTCGTCGACGTCGTTTCTTGTAAAGACGACTTTTCTGTCCAGAATTTCGGATTTATATTTTGAGTAATTCTAGCTCCTAAGTTCACCTAGACTCCGTCCTTAATCCTAACAAGTGGTATCAGAGCGATATTAAGGACATTGAGAGGAGTCTACAGAAGTGTGAAGACCCTTCTAGACCCACCATGGCCTGTGGGTGTGCCTAAGTGGTGTTCTAAAGGTTGGATGTGTCTTCCGCTAAGGGGAAACTCTGCCGAAATTTCGTGGACGCCGACACTTGTGAAAATATCGAGGGAGCTGAGTGTGGACAGCAAAGGGGAGCTGAAATTCGTCATTTCTCAAGGAGAAGATGAATGAGAGAGGAGGAGATGCTAATGGAAGAGGAGCTGTAGCTGAGAAGACAAGTGAGCCGCCGCCATCAAAAGTTGAAGCTTTGGATGGCTCCAACTATGAGGAATGGAGCGGACGGATGAGGAGTGCCTTCAAACGCTACAAGCTCCTGAAGATTGCTGTTGGGGAAGAGAAGATGCCGGAAGAAGGCGAAGCACGTGAACGGTGGATTGAGAAAAGCGCGGTGCTTTTCGACCTCATTCTTCAATCGGTCAACAAGGAGATGTTCGAGCACATCAAGGATCTTGTGGAAGCGGATGATTCGGGTCCAAGGGCGTGGAAACTACTACGCGATGTGATTCAGCCCAACACTCTCCTGATGGTGATCGTGCTCGAGAAGGAACTTGCTGCCATCTCCATGCGACCAGGGGACGATGTGAAGCCGGTCCTTGACAAGATCAAGGACACCTATGCAAGGATGGCAGCAGCGGGCAGCAGTGTATCTCAGCTGCAGCAGTGCACCAAGATCATCTCGGTGTTGGACAACTCGTGGGATAACCTCATCCCCACCCTCAACTCTCAGCAAGATCAATGGACACCTGAGTGGCTAAGGCAGCAGATTCTGCAGGAGGACTTCCGCAGACGCCATGTGGGAGGCGGTGCTGCCACTAAGACTGCTGAGGGGTATGGAGCTGCAGGGCGCGGCAGAGGAAGAGGGGGTTGGAAAGGCCGAGGCCGTGGGAGGAGCTTTGGCAGAGGTAGAGGCCGAGGTGACTATAATGAGGGGCATGGGAGCTCTAGTGGCAGGGGGAGTACCAGAATGGAGGGCACCTGCTGGTACTGCAAGAAGATAGGGCATCCTTGGTTCAAGTGCTTCAGCAGGCCGGAGGGATGGGCACCTCCAGGCATGAAGCCACCCAGTGGTGAACGCGCACAAGGTGGCGCTGTGCAAGGCTCAGGTGCACAAGGTGAAGGTGCACAAGGTAATGCCTATCCTGGTTTGTTTGTTATGGTTGAGGATGTGCATGGGCATGAGGGTGATGTGGGATCTGTGGGAAAGGTTGTGATGCACCCTCTCACGCACTGGGTGATTGATTCGGGTTGCACCAGTCACATGACCCCACGGGCAGATTTGCTTGATGAGGTAAAACCCCCTGGGAAGATCAAGTATGTGGCAGCAGCGTCAGGTGCTTTGCTCCCTGTCATTGGTGTTGGAAATGCCAAGGTTAAGGGAGCTAATGGGGAGCTTGTGGGGCTTGGGAATGTTCTGCTGGTTAAAGGCTTGTCTGCTAACCTTCTCTCTGTGCGGCGACTGCAGAAGAGTAAGGCCGAAGTGACCTTTGGACCAACCAGCTGCCGTGCTAAGCTTGGGAAGAAGGTGCTGTGGAGTCTGGAAGAGGAGACCAGCTGCATCAAGGACCTGTGGCAGCTGCCCATCATCCCTTGGAATGGGAAGACTCCAACAGCAGCAACGGCAGCAGTGGCAAAGGCAACAGCAGGAGGAGATGCAACTGCACCAACTGATGGGGTGCTGGAAGCAGTCAAGAAAGTGCAGAAGCAGCAGACACATGGTGAGGTGCTTGCTGGTGTGGATGCGAGTGCGGCATGGGCTAAGGCTTCATCAAGGAGTGGAGAGGCCGATTGGGAGACATGGCATGAGAGGTTGTGTCATGTGAACTTCCCTATGCTGCAGAAGTTGGTGAAGAATGGGAGCCTGAAGGGCTTGGAGGTGAAAGGGGAAGTGAAGGAGATTGGGAGCTGCCCTACATGCTTGGAGACCAAGTTCTCCAAGTTCCCCTTCAACAGTGCAACTGGACCATCCAAGACCCCACTTGCACTTGTGCACATGGATGTGGTGGGGCCCACAAGAGCCCCTTCCCTCTCAGGCAGCCGCTATTTCTTGACAATTGTGGATGACCACACTTGGGCAGTGTGGGTTTACCCTTTGAAGAGCAAGGGGGAGGTGGCAGCGGCTGTCCTTAAGGAGTGGATGCCGAGAGCTCAGAGGGAATGCGGACACAAGGTGAAGGTGATCCGTAGTGACAATGGTGGGGAGTTCATTGGAGCTGATTTTGAGGGGGAGTTGAAGAGGAAGGGGATCCAGCATCAACTGACAGTGCCCTACAACCCACAGCAGAATGGCGTGGCTGAGAGGTTCAACAGGACCCTGCAGGAGGGGGCACGCACTCTCCTTGGGCGTGCAGGGCTGCCTGATCCGTTTTGGGTGTCTGCACTGAGGCAGGTCGCCCTTGTGAAGAACAGGGTGCTGGCTACAGTTGGAGATAAGGAGTGGATCCCATACGTCAAGTGGTATGGGAGTGCTCCAGCTGTGAACATGCTGAGGGCATTTGGGTGCATGGTGGTGTTTCATGTGCCTAAGGAGAAAAGGGGGAAGTTGGAGGCTTCTGGAAGATGGGGTGTGCACTTGGGGATTGCAAAGGATCACAAGGGGTGGCTGCTATGGGACTTGACCACCCAGAAGTTGACAGTGTCAAGGGATGTGAAGTTTCTTGAGTCCCTGTACTACAAGGAATGGAAGCAGCAGCAACAGAAGCTTCCATCTACACCGCTCATTGTGGAGGCAGATGAGGTGCAGCAGCCTTCAAGACAGGTGGAGGTTGCAGTGTCAGAGGAGGAGATGTCTGGGGTGACTGAGGAAGGGGGAGCAGCTGAAGTAGAGCAGCAGCAGCAGCAGCAGCATGAGTCTCCACCTCGAGTTCCACACCCGCCTGAGCGTCCTAGGAGGGATGTGCGCCCTCCAGTGAGGCTGACCTATGGGGAAGAGGCAAGCCGAATGTGGTGCAGGCTGGGAGTGTGGTTGAGCAGATTGAGGAAGATGAGATCGCTCACTGCTACTGGGCACCAATCCCTGAGCCCAAGACTCGAGAAGAGGCCTTGAATGGACCAAATGGGGAGAAGTGGAAGGCGAGTGAGGATGAGGAGTTCGGGTCCCTAATTGAGAACGAGACATGGGACCTGTGTGACTTGCCTCCTGGAAAGAAGGCAATCACTTCCAAGATGATCTACAGGCACAAGTATGGACCTGAAGGGGAGCTGACCCGCTACAAGTCTAGGCTTGTGGCACGGGGGTTTCAGCAGACAAAGGGGAAGGACTATGATGAGGTGTTTGCTCCTGTGGGGAAAGGAACAACACTGAGGGTGCTGTTGGCGATAGCTGCACTCCTGGGATGGAAGATTCGGCATATGGATATTGTGACTGCCTTTCTGAATGGGATCATTATGGAGGAGGTGTACATGAAGCTTGCTGGGATGAGTGTGCATTGAGTATGCATGCTTGAGATGTGGTATGGTCGATGATGGTTGGCAGCCAGAGGGGGAGATTGTTGTGTGATGTCATCATATGCTATCACATTCTGTCTGCCTCCCATCCCATGTTTTTTCAACTTGCATGTGTGGTTTGAATGTGCAAGCATTTGTGTGTGGTGTGTTCTGGAGTTTGGGAATGTGTTTTGTGTTATTCTGTCTGAGCAGGTATTTGTGATAATAGATCTTGAGAAGATCTTTCCGACGCAACAAGAATCGCTTCAATCGGAGCAAGAACGCGAAAGCTATGAAGATTCAAAGTTCATGAGCTTGCGTTACAATTGCGGCGGTTACTAAGTGAAGTTGTGGGGTGACTTTATATGGAGTTGGGACCTTTGGGGTTGGGGAAACTTGTCACTCTACTGTAACAGCTGCAAATTGGTTGGGAACAACCAAGCTAGGTTGGCAAGGGTGGCCAACTTGGATGGATTGGTTGGGAAGGGACAAATGTCAAAGTTGGGGTTCCTATAGGGAGGGAATCTTTGTGCTTATGGGGTTTCCTTGGTTGGGGACTCTCTTGGGACCTTCCCTCTCATCCCTCTCTTCCTATCCCAACCTTTCTCTTGCTCCTTCTAATTCCTTGTGAGATTCTTGAACTTTGATTGAACCTTTGAGATTGAGTTAAGTTCTCCTCCTACAGCTTACCCCCTAATGCGTCGAAAGCCATAGCGTCGCGAATACTTCATCAATCAACGTGATTCAAATTGGGAACGGTAGCTGAGATTAAGAGCTACAACATATCCAAGTTTCGCGACATTCCAACGGCTAGTTTTTCGTCGACGTCGTTTCTTGTAAAGACGACTTTTCTGTCCAGAATTTCGGATTTATATTTTGAGTAATTCTAGCTCCTAAGTTCACCTAGACTCCGTCCTTAATCCTAACATATAGGGTCACCTTCTAGAGAGTACAACATTTAGGTATATGTTTGTGTACTCTCTCTCTCATTATTCAATTCTAATTCTGTTAATTCTTTCCGTTTGATAACGCACGCATCTCCCCGTCAGCTCCTTCCATGGCCCACCAGATCCCAATGCACACATCCGTCGCCACCTCCACCGTACTTTCGTTTTTCCTCGCCAGATGCTCCATTCCCCGTCGTGCGCATGCATCGCTGGGGAACTTCGACCCCTACGCAAGCAGGGAGCGGTGGAGCATGGCCTCGTGCTGCTTGACGGCATGGCGGCAGGGGAAAACGACGAATTGAAAATAACAGGAGAAATGGTGAAATCGGGAAATGGCGAAATGGCGGAATGACATTTTGAGTCGACTCAAAATACAACTGGACAAGCTGACACACGGTTTATTCTCCGGCCGACGTGCATTGATTGCATGGAAGCTGCAAAAAAAGATCAAGGATTTTATAGTCGCAGCAAGGAAATGCTAGTTTAGAGTTTCAAAATTGTTACACTTATCTAGTTTTTTGCTTGGCTACAGTGACCCCTTCTCGGGGATGGTGTGGACCCTCGAGTTTTGCTCGGGTCGCACTCTCACTATTTAGACAGCTCGAATGCTCCAATGTTCGGTAGATGCTGATGAAGGCTTGTATAAGCCGAAACTAGTTCATCACTGGTTTTCCATCAAAACTTCCTGAACATCCCTTCAGCTCGAGCTTTTTCATAACCGCTGCCTCGCAAGGCTTTTTCCACCATGGTTAACCCTGAAAATAACAGGAGAAATGGCGAAATGGGAAAATGGGGAAATGGGGGCCAGTCAGACTACGGTCGCCCGGCGGCAGCCAGAAACCACCAGCTTTAGCCGTTACCTATTGCTGTGTCTCTAAAGCGATTAGCCGCGCCTGAGACTCTATCGTGCTGCGACGACCTCTAGCTGAGCAGCGTGGAGACGGGGAGAAAGCTGTGTTTCGTCGGGTGAAACGAGAGAATGGCGGGACGTCCCGAGAACCTGGGACCTGGTTTGCAGAAGCAGGCGGAGTCCTGCTTTGCGCGGAATGGATTACAGCCAGGCGATGGCAGTGTATGGATGGTGGTGGATAACGGCTCTTTGTATGGGGATTTGCCGAGTCCTGCGGACAGCAGGCCTTTTCTTGCCACTGGCTTTGGGCCGAGCGGGCAGCGAGGAGACACCAGCGGATGGATGGCTATGGATAACGGCTCTCTGGCAGGAAGACTCCGGAACCTCGGATTTGGCGCCAGGGCAACTGATGATAGTAATGTGGGAGCTTGTCAGACGGAGATTGCTGGAGCAGCAGTCTATGTTAATGATTCAGAGGCGACCGAGGTTCACGGTGTAGCAGCGGCGGCAGCAGCAGCAGCAAGAGTTTCAGCTCCAGGAATACCAGCACCAGCGGCAGCGCCACCACCACACCCAGCAGCAGCAGCAGCAGCAGCAGCATCAGCAGCAGCAGCAGCAGCACCACCACCACTGCCACCAGCAGAAGCAGCTGGCGGTAATGATCATTGCAACCTCGGAGCTCTTGCCTGTCACCTCTCGCTCGACGTTGACACCATGGTGACAGCTCGCAGGAGCAGCTGGACGCCATGGCGTTATGCCTGTTCATCGCCAACGCCATGTGCAAGTGGCCTGACTCGAGCAAGGACCGGCCAGAAAGCCGTTTGGCTTCCACGTCTTGCACAGCATGCCGAGGGAAGTGGAGACTCTGCAGCTGCGCGGTATGCAGATTGGGGAGGAAAAGGTGGGGGAAGGGGGGGAGATGGGTGGTGGGGGGATGGGTGGTTGAGGCGGACATGCCTGACCAGGTAGAGGGAGTGGGGGGGAGAGAAAGGGGAGGGAGAATATGAGAGGAGAGTGAGGGAGTGGGTGGGATGATGTTGGGTTTGAGAATTCTAAAAGATGACTTTATTGCAAACTTGAGGTAACAGAGCCGCTTTCCCCTGTCAGGAGCTCTTGCTTTCCCATGCTTCCCCCCTATGCCTTCCCTCTCATGCCTTCTTTTACATGCTTTCCCACCGTACCTTGCCCCTCATGCCTTTCCCCCCATGCCTTTCCCCTCACGCCTTTCCCCCGTGCCTCCCCCCCACATCCCCATGCCCTTTCCCCCATATGCCTTCTCACCATGCCTTTCCCTCCATGCCTTTCCCCCCATGCCTTTCCGCCCATGCCTTCTCACCCATCCGTTTTCCCCCAAGCCGTTTTTCCCATGCCCCTCCCAATCCCCCCCATGTTTCTTTTCCCGTGCCTTTTTCCCCATGTCTTCCCCCCATACCCCAGACACGTTCTTTCTGATGGAGCATGTAGAAGAGTAGGCTCAATGTGCATAGCTGTACGATGCACAAGGTGGAGATGGTAAAGATAGGTTCCAAGAGGAGCCCTAGAAAGTGTAAGAGAAAGTAGTGAATAGAGATGACAAAGACATTAGGCTAAGTAGGCCTAGATTGTGAAGAAGGGAGAGATGGAGACGTGCTGAGCGACTTGGGCTGGTCCAGGTGAGGAGATGGCACCCAAGAGACTTGGGGTCAGGCCCATAGTTATCAGGCTTTATACGCTGATTTTGTTTTTTTTCAGGGTGTTCTCTTGTACCGACCCTGATGAATCAGCCTTGAAAACAAAAGAACCAGGGTCAACCAGTAAGAAAACCAATACCAAAAACTGATTTTCAGGGTGTTTTTCTAGATCGACACCGATAAATCAGCGTGGCCTAAAACGAATCTGAGGGCCTGCTTGGGGTGCCCAAATGGGTGCTCAAGTTGTCCACAGTCAAGGTGGGGACTGTTAGAATACGCTAGCTAGGGGGAGAAGCCATGGAATGGCGAGAGGTTTAGGAAGGAGAGAAATGTCGAGAGAAGAGAGGTTGGAAGAGAAAAGAGAGGGATACAAGAAGGGGGTTGTACCCTCTATAGCAAAATCCAGTAACACCTACCAAGCCTACCATTATATATAATTCAAATATATAATTTAACACACCCCCTAGGCTTGGTAGCTGAAAGCCCACCACACACATAGCACACTAAGCCACACACCCCCTAAGCCTAGCACCCCCATACTCAGCAGCAGCGGCCGCTACTTCAGCAGGGTCAGCCCCTCGGCGCGTGAGGCGGCAACATCAACAGCGAGGGCAGCGGCTGCAACGGCGGCGACGGCGGCAGCGTTGACAGCGGCGGCGGCGGCGGCGTGCGGCGGTGGGCCAGCGGCACCAGCTGTGGCGGCGGCAGCTTTGACGACAGCTGCCGGCGGCGGCGGAGCTTGCAGCACTCGGCAGCATGGCCGGGCTCCGCGACGGTGGGACGGCCGGCGCGAGTCAGCCGTCGGCTGCGGCGAGGAAGAGGGGACGCAGGGGAAGGGGGCGGGGCTTCAGCAGCGGAGCCCGGGAGTATGCCGCCCCGTGTGGCACGCTGGCTGCATGCGGGCGTGCTGGCCAGTGCTAAGACGGGGCGCTGGCCGCTGCCGTCCGTGCCGTACGCGCGCTGGCAGCACGTTGCCACGGCAGCACGACGGCGCCGTCACGCCGCCACGGCTTGATGTCGACGATGCCGCCACAGCTTGACGTCGATGCCACAACAGCGCGACGCCACGGCAGCGCATAGAGACGGCCGCGGCAGCACGACGCGGCCGGTGGCACAACGACGCCACCACAGCAGCATGACGCGGCCGCCATGGCAGCGCGAGAGAGAGAGGAGGAGTGCGCAGAAGAAGCGTGATAAGCAGGCTCAGGAAAAGCAACCTGCTCTGAAACCATGTTCGAATAAGCTAGCTAGGGGAGAAGCCATGGAATGGCGAGAGGTTTAGGAATGAGAGAAACGTCAAGAGAAGAGAGTGCTTGGAATAGAATAGAGAGAAATACAAGAAGGGGGGTTGTACCATCTACAGTAGAATCCAGTAACACCTACCAAGCCTACCATTATATATAATTCAAATAAATAATTTAACACAACACCCCCCCCCCTTAGGGTGACTCCAAGGAAGAGTCTCGGGAAGAAGAGGCAGGGCGCAAGCCAATGCAGGACCGGAGACGCTGAAAAGTGTCAAGGGAAAGAGGCTTGGTACCGAGATCAGCAAGGTTGTCATGAGTAGGTAGGGACATAGTGCTGTGAGATATGGCCCTTGTCAACGTGATCATGGAGGAA